TTTCTATTCCGCATATCATTTTGGCTAGCCAGGTAGGAGATCTCTGTCTGGCTGTGGGAGCGGCCGAGGAACGGATTCCTTGGTGCATCCCCAGGACTTTCCGGGAAGGACCTGAACCTCGGTTCGCTCACCATGGGGACAGACAACGACCTGCCGGCCTGTGGATAAAGGTATGAATTAAGTATCAAGGCAAGAGCTGCTGGTAAAGCAAACAGAGATGTCTGTCGTACAGCGCAGTGAGCTTGCAAGCAGCCGTCCAGGAGGGGCCGGGAACAGCGGGAAAGGGATCGATCTTGGCCGATAGTGTGGCCGATAACGGGGGGGTTCTCGCTGAGCTGATAGAGCAGCCCGCTAGCGACTCTGGGGGTGAGCAGAGCGAACCCTTGTTTTGTGTGAATGCTAAGTCCGGACACGTTGAGTCACTGAGTGTGTTTGGTGTGTGAATGAGCGAGTGAGACGCACCAGAGGTGTGGAGCGAGTGTGGAGCTCTATCCGCGGTTCCGACCTCGGGCGACTGAGGAAGCCAGAGGAAAGCAAAGTGACTGGAGTCAGTTTGGGGCAAACCCTAGTGTGAGGAGTGTTATACTTGAATGCAGATCAGTTAGCATTTGTTTTAACCGTGGACAGACAATTTGAGAGACTCCCTCCCGCAGTACAAATCCTAAGTATTCCAGAGAAGGTGAATGAGATAACTTGTCTTTGTGCGAAATTTAGAGCTACCAGAGAATCAAAGGATTGGTATCTGGCTGAGTTTTATTGCAGTGTGGAGATTGTGAAAGACGTTGGTACTGTTGAAAATCTGAGTTTGGTGTGTGGAAAAGCCATATTGGGTGCCTGCAAATTGGGATTGTGTGTGAGGAGTTTGGGTGGAAATGGGACAGAACAAGAAGGAGGACATAATGGGAACTAGACAAAGTAAAGAAATCCCTAAAGCAAGTCCGCTAGGTTGTCTTATTGCACATTGGAAGGACATTGCTGGGCGTGGGGGAACTGAGAACGAGGGATTTAATCAGGTTCTCTAAGGACTGGTGGCCACTATATAAATTGGATGAGGGAGCGAGGTGGCCACCTAGTGGAACTTTGGACTATAACACGCTATTGTAACTCGTGCTCTTTCTCAGGAGGGAAATGGGCAGTGGTAACATACACTGATATGTTTTTCTCCCTCTGAAATCACCCCGAATGGCAGAGGGACTGTGGGATCAGGGCTCCCTCTAACCCTCTGGTATTGGCCCTGGAGAAGGAAAGTAAGACTAAGAGGGGGAGGCTTGAGCGGTGTTGCTCAGCATGTAGCATAGGGCAAAGATGCACAAAATCAGATAAGGTTTATCAGACTGTGGCCCAGGAACAAGATCTGGCAGACGATTTGCTTAAGCCTCCCCACATAAGACCAGAAAGGGATGAGGATGAGGATGTGGACTCAGAGGTTACAGACACCCCTCCGGTTGCACACCAGACTAAACAACAGACACACATAATACAGGCACCGCTGCAAGAGGCAGTGGCACCAGAAGGAGGAGTGGTATTGGTTAAAGTTCCATTCTCCACAATCGATTTGGAGCCATGGGAAAAGATTGCTAAAAATTACCGCAGTGATCCAATTAACACAGCTAAACGCCTGTGATACATAATAAAACAATCTGGATTGGAGTGATATGCAATTATTATTGGATGCACTGACCAAGACAGAAAAACAATTAATTATAAAAACAGCAGAGGATTTGGCAGAAGATTATTATAAAACCCAACAATTGGATGTGAAAGATTATTTCCCACTCCAAAACCCACAGTGGGACCCAAAGAGATTAGCAGAATTAAAGAAATAAGAAAGCTATCAGGAGTGGATCACAAAGGGGATGGAAAGAGGCATCCCCAAAATTATAAATTGATCAGCTTTATATGCAGTCAAGCAGGGGCCCTCTGAGTTGCCATCTGAATTCCTCGAAAAATTAAGAGATGCCATACGCCGTCACACATCACTGGACCCTGGGTCTGAAGTAGGGATACAGCAGTTTATTCCTGGGGCAGTCTACAGGTGACATAAGGCATAAACATCAGAAGCTTTGGGGGGCAGATGGGAGGAACTTGGAGATTTTGTTGGATGAGGCGTGGAGACTTTTTAGTAACCGGGAAGAGGGATTGTCTCGGTTCTAGAAGACAGGTGTCTGCTAGGGAGGGCAGGAGCCTCCCTTGGAATGAAAAAATGTAGACTCCCTCTCTCCAAATTATTATAATTCTGAAATTAAGGGGCTTTCAGGCTGAGATCTGGGGATAGGAATAACAGTTCTTTACTAGTATTTATAACCAGGCAAACAAACAACAATAACTACAGCATTAACAACAAAACAGAACCAGGGGCCCTGTGACAGCCTTCTCGGCTGAGACGGGATGGAGGAGAGGCTTTGTTCCACAAACCCCTTGGGCCGGCAGTCCCGGTGCTCCTGCAGGGCTCTGAGGAACAGTCGGCTGGAACAGCAGGGATGAGCTGAGATCCTGGGCTGGTGGATGAGGTGGATCAGCAGCTCCGTGGCGGTGCCTGGCACTGCCACACGTCCCGGCAGGACAGGGGGTGCAAGGCCACCAACGAAGAGGGAAGAAGGAGAAGAAGCAGCAGCTCTGTCTGGGTGATGGCGAAATTCCCTTCTCTCCACTGCAACAGGTCCGCGCTCAAAGTGTCTTTTTCTGAAGCTGAAGAAAGCCCACCAAACTGTCTCCACCTTCTTTTTTTCTTGCCCCCTTCCCACCCTGGGTCCAGCTGAACTCTGTCTTCTCTCAAGCACCCACCAAGTACCCACAGTTAAGTTGTCCCCGCAACTAACGTGTAAAAGGCAAGCCAGAACTTAAAAAAAAAAGGACACTTAACCCTCAACAAGGATATAAACAGGGAATGAAGAAGTTCATAGCTGTTGTTAGTGAGAGGGAAAGAGGGAAACATGGACAGGGACCACCTAGACAAGGCCCATCCTGGCTGGGCAGAGACCGGGATGTAAGAAATATGGTCACTGGAAAAATCAGTGCGCGGAATGAAGACAGGGTGGCTTTCAGGAAAAGGGAGATGGGGAAAAGGGAAAGGTGATTGCATATGTGAAAGAAGATTGAAGAAGACCAGTAGATCTCACCCCAGAAGATCCACTGGTTATAAAATTGAAACTGGGGGAAAAAGGGAAAGAAATGTAATTTCTGGTTGATATAGGGGTGTCATGAGGTGACTTTACCTTTAAGGTGGTTGTGAGAGCTAAGGAAGTTGAAGTCACTGGGGACTGAAAGGAGTCCCTTCTCCTGACCAATTATTGGTCATTACTGGGAATTGACAGCAATTTTAAACATTGAAAAGGGAGATCAACTTGTGAACCCTACCTTAAGATGTAAAGTCAGGGCACTTTGGCTCTCTTTGTTTCCTGGCTGTGAAAAGTAACAGAGCTCCAGGCCTCCCGTTCCCTGCCCAGGCCATGCGGCTGGGCGGGGGCTGGGCTGGGCCCAGTGGCTCCCGGCCGGGAGATGGGGCCTGCGGGGGACTTGTCCCAGGCTCTGGCCAGGCCAAGCCAGTCTCTGGCTCAGCTGCAGTGACAGAGTTCACCGGGGACTGCCGAGTAAAGAAGGAGAAAAAGCTCTGGACCTGCGGCGAGCTGAGACAGCGACTACACTTTTCCAGAACAGCCATGAAGAATCTTCTATCGAAGACGGCTCCAGTTCCAGCACCAGCAGAGGTCACAGAGCCATCTACAAAGCCTGGGCAAGATTTTAAACTTTTCATTTCTCAGATGAGACTTGCAGATTAATCCTTTTATCCAGAGAAGGAAAAAGAGAGTGATCAACATGAAAAGAGACTTTATAAAACTATCAGAGACAAGAAAGAAAAGAAGCTTCAGGAAAGGTAGAGAATTAAGAAGATGCTTTAATTAAGATGAAATATTTTTCTCTTAAAGCTATGGAGATGGACAATAGGACTCCTGAAAGAACTCCTTTAATTCATGACAGTATATAGGGAGGAATAGAGTGTTCAAAGTGAAAATTTCGAGTAAAAAGTAGAGTGATTGTGATATAGTGAAGTGCTGGAAACGGTGAAGCAAAAATTTGAAGCCTTGGGGGGCAATGAGAAAAACTGTTTTCTGGTGAAGCTCACAGAAACAGATGAAGAAGACTTTTGCTTTTGAATAACTCATCCTTAAAATGCCATCCCTAGACTCATAGCCCATACACACTTCAGAGTGATGTGAAATGGGAGGAGTGAGCTCTGATAACAGCAGCTCTGGGCAGCTGACATCAGGGCAATGGAAAACTATAAGAAAACATAGTTTTCTTGTGAGAAACTCCATAAATTAACAGAAAGAAACTTCTGTTTCTCTACAAAGACTGGTGAAAAGACTGTAGCAGGAATTGGGACTGTTTTAACCACCAAAGTTCCAAAGTTTTTGTCTCTGTTGTCATGTGAACAAAGGAATAGTGGGTAGATAGGGGATAAAAAAGGTTTTTCTGGAAGTTTATTCTGGTGTTCTTATTATTGTAGTTTGTCAATAAACTTTCTTTATTCCTTTTAAGTTTTATGCCTGTTTTGCTCTTGTTCCAATCCATATCTCACAGCAAGAAATAAGTAATTTTTTTAGTTACTGATTTAAAACCACGACAAGGGGCAACATATTCAGCCTTTAATAAAACTTTGGCACCTGTGGGGAAGGATTATGTTACAGTAATAGGAGCAACTGGTTAACCTCAAAAAGCATATTTTTGCAAACCATTAAAGTATAGACTCGGAAAGCAATGGGTCATTCATAAATTCTTACATTTGCCCAGCTCCCCAAGACACCTTTTGGGGAGGGACTTGTTAGAACAATTGCAAGTAACCATTAAATTTAAAAACGGGGAGGTTATTCTGGAGGTAAATGATGAACAGTACATAGAGGCATTGAGTTTAACGTTGACAGCCGTTCACACGGAGGGAGAAATTAGTGAAGAAATAAAAAATCAAGTATTTCCTGGAGTGTGGGCCTCCAATGTACCAGGGAGAGTAAAAAATGCACTCCCTGTATTAATCAAACTTAAAGAAGGAAGACAACCAGTTAGAATTAAACAATACCCTCTGAAAAAGGAAGATAGGGAAGGAATTAGTCCCATAGTAGAAAACTTTGCAGTTAGGCTCGTTAAAAGACTGCCCATCTGAGTTCAATACTCCCATTTTGCCAGTCCGAAAATCTGATGGGTCATACCGGATAGTACAAGATCGAAGGGCTGTTAACAAAATAACTGAGGATCTCTATCCTGTAGTCACAAATCCATACACTCTGCTAATGTGCCTGACACCCGAGCTAACTTGGTTTACTGTTTTAGACTTGAAAGATGCCTTCTTTTGCCTTCCTACCCATGAGGACAGCCAGAAAATTTTTGCATTTCAATGGAAAAACCCCAAAAGCGGGCACAAATCCCAGCTCACTTGGACTGTGTTGACTCAAGGATTTAAAAACTCTCCTACTCTGTTTGGGAAACAACTTGCCAAGGATCTGGAATCCTCCCCCAGAAGAAGGAAAACTACTGCAGTACGTGGATGACATCCTCATAGCCATCCGGACAAAAGAGGCATGTATAGCCTGGACGGTAAGCCTGCAAAACTTTCTGAGACTTCAGGGATACAGGGTATCAAAGAAAAAGGCCCAGGTAGTGAAGCCAAAGCTAATTTATCTGAGCTATGAAATCAGTGCTGGACAACAGACTCTAGGGCAAGATTGCAAAGAAGCAATATGCCAAACCCTGAAACCTCAAACAGTGAAGAAGCTGTGAACATTCTTAGGGATGACAGGATGGTGCAGACTATGGATACACAGCTACGGGTTGCTTGTGAAACCTCTGTATGTGCTCATTACAAGCGGGAACAGAGAACTCCAGTGGACAAAAGAGGCCACACAAGCCTTCCACCAGCTGAAGAACAGCCTAATGTCGGCTCCAGTGCTCAGACTCCCGATGTAAGTAAACCGTTCTTCCGGTTTTCCCATGAGAAGCAAGGAATTGCCCTGGGAATACTGGCCCAGGACTTGGGTCCGTACCAAAGAGCAGTTGCTTACTTCTCCCAACAACTAGATGCAACAGCCAAGGGATGGCCAGGATGCCTTAGAGCTGTTGCTGCAGTGGTGCTGAATATTCAGGAAGCACGCAAATTCACCCTGGGCCAGAAAATTACTGTGTTGGTGTCTCACACAGTTTCTGCAGTCCTAGAAGTAAAAGGTGGTGTCTTGGTTCTAGAAGACAGGTGTCTGCTAGGGAGAGCAGGAGCCCCCCTTGGGATGAAAGAATGTAGACCCCCTCCCTCCGAATTATTATAATTTTGAAATCAAGGGGCTTTCAGGCAGAGGTCTGGGGATAGGAATAACAGTTCTTTACTAGTATAACCAGGCAAACAAACAACAATAACTACAGCATTAACAAGAAAACAGAAACAGGGACTCCGGGACAGCTTTCTCGGCTGAGATGTGATGGGGGAGAGGTTTTGTTTTCACAAACCCCCTCGGGCGGTCAGTCCCGGTGCTCCTGCAGTGCTCCGAGGAACCCTCGGCTGGAACAGCAGGGATGAGCTGAGATCCTGGGCTGGTGGCTGAGGTGTATCAGCAGCTCCGTGGCAGTGCCTGGCACCGCCACACGTCCCGGCAGGACAGGGGGTACGAGGCCACCAACGAAGAGGGAAGAAGGAGAAGAAGCAGCAGCTCCGTCTGGGTGATGGCAAAAATTCCCTTCTCCCCACCGCAGCAGCTCAGCGACCCAGCAAAACGAACATCCTTCCCCGAAGCCGAAGAAAACCAGCCAAAAAAACCTGTCCCCCTACCCTCCTTTTCTGCCCCCTTCCCTGCCCCCCCCCCG